GGTTGGCAGAGGAAATATGACGGTAGTGGGAGACATGAGGAGGAATGCAAGAGCTAAAGTAACTAGAGGTAAATAATGTTAACTGATGGTTGTTGGTCTTGTTAAGTGCCATCAAGTCAGTTCTGACTCATAACGACCCTGTGTAGGGTTTCCGGTGAGCAGCTAGTGAGCTTGAACCACCGACCTTGCCATTCAAACCATTCTTGCAGTCCAGCGCATTAACACACAGTGCCACACCAGGACTCCTAACTGTTGGTACATGCAGGGAACTGTAATCATTGTAATGAAGCAAAGTGTATGATTTGTGGAATGTAAAACTGATGATCTGCCTTGTAGCCCTTCACTTGATTCACAATAATGTTATTTAAAAAAGATATAATTATTTGCAGAATGTGCCGTCTGGCAGTTTAAATTATTAAATATACCCGAGTGTTAAAAAAAAAAAAAAGAGCTAAAATGAATAGAGAGAAATACTGTTAACTGATGGTACATGGAAGGGATTATAATCATTGTAATGAAACAAAGTATATGATTTGTTGAATGTAAAACTGATGATCTGCCCTGTAAGCTTTCACTCAATGCACAATAAAAACTTAAAAACAAAATCGACTCAATGTCACCTACAACATCAAAATATGCCTGCATAATGTGGGGGGTAGGGCAAGAGGAATGAAGATACATAACTCTTATTTAATTAATGCTATAAGCTAGGGGTCTGCCATTTCTAATTCTAGAAACAGGGTATTGCATTCTATCTTCCCGCATCGTCTAATTACCAGGCATTGAGGGCATGCGATCACTAGAAGTACCACCGGTGTTTGTTTTTGCATTCACTCATGTTCCTAACCCCTGTTTGGAGACTTCAGTATCAGTGGATGTCACCCAAGGGTAATTCTGCCTCTGAGGACATGTTTGGCAATGCCTGAAGATATTTTACTTGTCCCAATTGAGAGTGGATGATTACTATTGGCATCTACTGGGTAGAAGCTAGGGGTGGTACTGCTAAACATTCTTTAGCACACGACAGTCCCCACAAAGAATGTTCTGGCCAAACTATCAATGATGCTAACATTGAGAATGATTCAGTACCCTAATCATTTATGTGTATGTGTGTTTGTGTTTGAATAAGAAATTAATCAGTCTGCTTCCTGGTTGTAGATAACACCTGCCTTAGTTTGTAGTTTCAGTCTTGGTTTCTCTGTTGCAGAAATCCAACTGTCAGAAGAGCTGTCATAATTGACAGAGGAGAAGAGAAAGGAAAGCTAAGGTCTGTTCAGGATCTTGTATATAATGACAAAGGAATTTCAGGGTAAGAGGTCTTAGGCCATAGGAAAAGTTCATCAGAACCTGAGTGAGGTATGGAAATTTGAGCACTGCTCACAACATTGGAAGTCACCCCACATCCTTAACTCAGTCTGAACAAATAAACCTGACTAAGTAGAATGTTCTACACCATTGATGGAAGCACAGATGGAGAGTATGAGCAAATAAACAAATGAAAAAAGCACAAAAGGAAGTTGAGAAGTGGCATCTGATGGCATAAATTACATTCAGACAGAAAATCACATGACTGGTGTCCTGGAGGACTGACCAGGTAGATGCAGGTGCTCAGTATAAATGGTCTCAAGTGATACCCCTGCTGATGTCAGATGTATCATTGCTGAAAGCAGAGAATACCAGAAAGTGGTTTACCTGTGCTTTATTGACTACACAAAGGCTTTCAATTGTGTGGATCATGACAAGCTATACACAACATGGCAAAGTATGAGTATCCCGAAAAAACAAATGGGCCCAAGAAGAAACAGGACCTGGACCAAGAGGCAGTTGTTCAAACAGAACATGGGAACACTGAATGGTTGTTCAAATGGTTCAAATTAAGAAAGATGTGTGACAGGGTTGTATTCTTTCACCATACCTATTCAATCCTAATGCTGAGCAAATAATCTGAGAAGCTGGGTTCTATGAAGAAAAACGTGGCATCAGGATTGGAGGAAGACTCATTAACAACCTGCGATATGCAGATGATACAACCTTGCTTGCTGAAAGTGAAGAGGACTTAAAATATTTACTGATGAAGATCAAAAAGCACAGTCTTCGGTATGGATTGCATCACAATGTAAAGAAAACAAAAATCCTCATCACTGGACCAATAAACAACATTCTTATCTACAGAGAAAAGATTGAAGTTGTCAAGACTTCATTGTTCTTGGATCAACCATGAACACTCATGGAAGCAGCAGTCAAGAAATCAAACGACATATTGCATTCGGCAACTCTGCCGCACAAGAACTTTTTAAAGTGTTGAAGAACAAAGATGTCAGCTTGAGGACTAAGGTGCACCTGACCCAAGCCATGGTATTTTCAATAACCTCATATGCATGTGAAAGCTGGACAGTGAATAAGGAAAACTGTAGAAGAATTGATGCCTTTGAGTTATGGTGTTGGAGGAGAATATTGAAAGTGCCATGGGCTACCATAAGAACCAATAGATCTGTTTTGGAAGAAGTGCAGACAGAGTGCTCTTTGGAGGTTAGAACGGCCAAACTTCATCTCTCATACTTCAGACATAGTGTCAGGAGGGACCAGTCACTGGAGAAGGATATCATGTTTGGTGAGATGGATGGTCAGAGAAAAAGAGGAAGACCTCCAGCGAGATGGGTTGGAAAAGTGCCAGCATCGATGGTCTGAACCATAGCAACGATTGTGAGGTTGGCCCAGGACCGGGCAGTGTTTCGTTCTGTTGTTCATAGGGTCACTATGAGTTGGTACCAACCAGATGGCACCTAACAACAACCACAAATGTCTCTCCAGCTGGGTGGTTTCTCTCTTGCCAGCTGCTTTCAGTGATAGAAGTCACGGGCTCAATGAAATATCCTACACTGTATAGGGTTTCACTGTGACTAGTTAAAAGCTTGACTCTAATCTCATCAAACCCATTCTTTTTTTTTTTTTTTTCCTGCATACATCACTAGTTTCCTAGATTCCAAAAGACCAGTCCATTATGGATAAAATAATAATGATATGTTTCATAGCATTTCTCTCAGCTATCTCATAAATGGAAAAGCATACCACAGATATGACTAACATTGTGAAAAGGTCAATACGATCCAAAGTTATCTGAAGGTAGAATGCATTCCCCATCCAAATCCCAACAGCATTCTTTGAAGAAAAACTTTATATGAAAAGTCCAAAGGCCCTGGTTAAGCAAAGCACTACCAAAGAAAAATAACAAAGTAGGAGGTCTCACACTACTGCATCTCAGAACCTACTATACAGTCACAGTAGTCAAAACCTTCTGGAACTGAGATGATGACAGACACGTAAACCCATAGAACAGAATTGAGGACCCATATATAAATCTATAAGGAGCTCTGGTAGTGTAGTGGTTATGAATCGGGCTGCTAACCTCAAGGTAGGCAGTTCGAAACTACCAGCTGTTCCATGGGAGAAAGATGAGGCTTTCTGCTCCCATAAAGATTTGCAGCCTCAGAAACCCCGTGCAGGGTCACTATGAGTTGGAACTGACTCAATGGTACTTAACAACTACAACAATGTAAATCTATACAACCACAGACACATTAGTAATATACTTCTGAACATTTGTTGTTATTGTTGTTAAGTGCCATCGCATTGGTTCTGACCCACAGTGACCCTGTATAGGGTTTCTGAGGAGCAGCTAGTGAGCTTGAACTGCCAACCTTGCAGTTCAAACGGCTTTGCAGTCTGACTTATTAACTCACAACACTACACCAGGACTCCATACTTCTGAAAATTAGCCACTGGAAATTCTATGACTCACAATAGAATAGGAATCGTCACAGTTCTGGAAGATGGCTCTCCTAGTTTGGAAAGCACTCAGAATGCAGTGTGACCACAACAATGGACTCAAGCATTACCAACAATCATGAAGATCAATCAGGGCCAGGTAATTAATGATTCATTGTGTTGTACCTGAGGTTGCCATGAGCTCCTCAGACTTTAGGCAACTAATAATAATAACAACAGATCCATTGTCTAAAAGCACTAAGCAATCAGAAAGAATTAACAAAGTCAGGAAAACTCTTGGTAATACAAAGTCAGATGGTAGGCAAGTGCAAGGAACAAACCTGTTCCCATGTGAAAAGTGCCTTTCAACTGTCATCAAAGCCTACTTCTCTAAAGTGGAGTGGAGCATATAATACTTTCTAATAGATATCATAGTTTGGTTAATTCTGTTTTATCATACAACAGAACTAATTTGACAGTAATATTACTAGTACCCTTCTCTCAATGAAATGTTTCAGAAAGCTGTATCAAAAACATACAAATTTGAGAAGGCTGGAATGGCAACATGCCATTCTACATTTTGTCTGTGTGATTAGCAGGGCAATCTCAGATAGCTTTCAGAATGGATCATGCTTAGAGTGAACCTTCAAGAACTCAGTTTTTTTAAAAAAAGCAACAGGAAGGTAAAACCATGGCCAATTCAATGTCTTCTGTTTTGTCTTTGCCAAGAGCAATACTGAATGTGCACAGGTAAAATGGGGAAATGATGGGAGGGGGAGTAAAGGGAGAGGCATTGCAGCTGTTTGGTTTAATAACGACACAAGGAAAAGCTCTCCTAGATTATGTATAATGTTTGGTTTAACTGGATATTATTATCTTAGTCTCTATGATTGCAAATGCTATTAGCAGTAAAACGCACATTAAATTATCTGGTCCTTTTAAAACCCCATCAGACCATGTATCTTCTTAATTTCTCCTAGCAACAAATTCAGATGGAAACATTTATATTCATCCTAACTGTGCTTCTGTAATGTGTTCCACAAAAGGACTACAATCTATAGTGATCTGGGATGACCCTATCTTACTTACACTTACAGAAATAAAATGTACAAAACACAGTTGTGTTCAAGGCATCTCCAATACAAGGTGACACTTATATAACCATTTTTCCACTGCACTGATAAAATGCAAAACAAATGATAACCACAACTCATTTTCCAAAGGAATAAACTTACTTTCTGTGCAAATAGGACAACATCCTTTCCTGTTGAGAATTTTACCCTAATCAAGAGAAAAACAAGGAAAAGGTTAGCATTAAGAAACAAGATTTATATCCCAAGGTAATCCGGAGCAATGCCTGACCTACATGGAAAGCATTCTTGTCTAATTGATTTTCAATTTTAATCAGTACAACCTCTATAGCAAAAACATCACATTTTATTTTACAAATAAAGGAACAAACAACAACAACAACAACAACACAAGGTTTGGGAGGACAAGACTCTTCTTTAAAACTAATACCAGACAAACCAGTGAAATCTATTCAAGTTGTATTTGTACTCAATGCCCAGATGGTGATGGTGAAAATGAAGTTTCAGGTATCAAGTTCTAAGGCTGAGACATTCAAACAGTTTTCCTGTTACTTTTTTTTCCCCAAGAAACATAATATCTAAAGGACTCGTTGGCGTGATTTTTCTCACATGCAGGGAAGATGGAGACAGTCTGGATTCAAGATTTTCACTGATATTCAAATGCAGCCTTCTAGAGACCAAGTGCACATATAAAAATGGGAATTGTCTGTCAATCTATCATTCCACGTGGGGCCTTCATTCTGTCTTTGCTTGCTGGAAGAGCCCAAACAATAAACTGTAATCTAAGCTTGGACTCATCTGGTGCTGTAGCTGTAAGAAATAGCCATGGGAGATCAAGTTCAGTCAGATTTCTTCTTTTAGAAAGTGCTATGTTATCCATTTTAAGTCATTTTTTATCCAGTCAAAGCCAGGGAAGCTGAGAGTTTTCAAACGCTGAATAATTTCCATTACCTTTCTGGAAATACAGTGCAGTATCCTACATTGTATTTCATTTATTTTTAATGCATGGCATTTAAAAGAGGAAGCCTTTTCTCTGGGCCAATGTCAAAGAACGGTATTGTCTTATTCCTGGTTCAATGGTTAACGACAGAGAACAAGAAATGAGGGAGAAGATTATATGATAAACACCCAGTTCAATATTTTATTCATGTTACTGAATATCAGGTAGTCGTAAGTATTATGTGAGCTAATACTTAGAATACAGTTGGTATTAATATTTGACATTACTGTTGTAGGTAGGTGCCATGGATTCATTCCAACTTATAGGAACCTTATATAGGGTTTCTGAGGCTGTAAATTTTTTGCAGGAACAGAAAGCCTCGTCTTCTTCCTGTGGAGTGGCTTGTGGGCTTGAACCGTTGACCTTGTGGTTCACAGTCCAGTGCTTTTCCTATAGAGCCACCATGCTCCCCTTAGACATTACTATAATCACCGTTATTAAGAATGATGGAAAAAATTGGAAGAAGTGGTGATGGTTGCATACATGCTGAACATAATTAACGTTAAAGAGTAGTATGCAAAAAAAAAAAAAAAAAAGTTTGAAACAGCAATTTCTTTTACGTATGTTTTACCAAAATAAAATAAAGATGATGCACAACAACCTTATGAGCATGACACTTGATATAGATGAAGACACTGATGCCATTGAAGGTGCAAAATCAAACTAATTTTGTGTAACTAGAAAGGATATGCTCTTTTTACTATGGAGTTTTATCCTCTATCGGGTTTCCTCTAGGTACTAGACACTGTGGTGCACAGTCTTAAAAGCTGATCTCATTTAAACTTCATAATCTTCTAAATACTAATGTCCTTTTCTCCAAGCATTGAAGAATAAGAACCATGTCTGATTCATCTTCATTGTTGTTAGGTGTCATCTAGTCAGTTCCAACTTAAAATAAGCCTATGTACAACAGAACAAAACACTGCCGGACCTGAACTACGCTGACGATTGTCATACTTAAACCCACCGTTGCTGCCACTATGTCAATCCATCTTGTTTAGAGATTCCTCTTTCTCACTTGCTTCCCACCCTCCGTCCCCCTTCCTACTTTACCAAGTATGATGTCCTTCTCCAGGGCCTGATCCCTCCTGCCATGTCCAAAGAACAAGAGACCAAGTCTCACCATCTTGGCTTCGAAAAAGCATTCTGACATACTTCTTCCAACACAGATTTGTTTGTTGTTCTAGCAGTCCATGGTACTTTCAGTATTCTTCATCAATACCATAATTCAAATGAATTAATTCTTCTCTGTTCTTCCTTATTCATTGTTCAACTTTTACATTGTTGTCATTAGGTGCCATCGAATCAGTACCAACTCAGAGCGACCCTATGCACAACAGAATGAAACACTGCCTGGTCCTGGGCCAACCTCACAATCGTTGCTACGCTTCAGACCATTGATGCTGGCACTTTTCAAATCCATCTCATTGGGGGTCTTCCTCTTT